ACGGTTCAAAACTGGTGTAAAGCGTACCAGGTCAACGGTTGTCTTCCGAGTTCGAAGCGCGGTCAACATCAGAAGACTCCGTCTCTCATTCACGACGAGGACTTTCTGTGGAAGTGTGGGCAGTGGCTGCGATCTACTCGGCCGTCAATGCGATCACCACGGACCTTTCGGTTGCATCTGAACGACGTAATCCTCCCAGAACTCACGGGTAATGTTATTTTCCTGTATAAACAAATATTACATATTTTCATCAATTTACACAATATATTTAGGCGCTGTCAAATCTGCCGTGTCCGAGGCCACTGCACGGCGGTGGATGATCCATGCAGGATACAAATACGGATCTTGGAAGAAGGATGTTTACATCGACGGTCATGAGCGGGATGACGTCGTCGAGTATCGGAAGAGCTTTTGCTCTACATGGATTGCACTCAGTGGGTGCATGGCGTCGTATTCTGGTGACGCGATGGACACGGTGGAAAGCCCGCCAGCAGAGGAGGTGGTGTGGGTCACGCATGACGAATCCATATTTTATGCAAATGATGATGGCGGCATGGTGTGGACAAATGCTGCCTACCCTGACCTGCCCAAGAAAGGACGTGGTCGTTCTGTCATGGTGTCTGACTTCCTTTGCCCTTGCCATGGACGGCTGTATATGCCTGGTGACGATGGGGATGCATTTGTGACCGAGACGCTGCACGTTGGCAAGGCTCAAGAAGGCTACTGGACAAGCGAGCACGTCATTCGCCAGGTGTCGTCGAAAGTTCTCCCGGCGTTTGCTGCATTACACCCGGGCCGTACTGCGTTGTTCACGTTCGATCAGTCAACCAACCATGCCGCGTATGCTGCCGATGCTCTTCGGGTGAACAGCATGAACCTCAATCCAGGTGGGAAGCAGCCCAAGCTTCGAGACGGGTGGTATGTGGTTGGCAGCACAAGGGTGGCCCAACCCATGTCATTTCCTGATGATCACCCAGTGGCAGCGTTACGGGGAACCCCCAAGGGGATCAAAGCTGTTCTGGCTGAGCGTGGGGCTTTGGAGGGATCCATGCTGCTCACCTGTGGTGCCACCGTGCAATTGCCAACTGGACCAGCGCTGCTGGAATGCTGTGCCAGACACCGCCTTGCATCGTACCCTGACTTCCGTACCCAGAAGTCAATCCTCGAGGAGACTGTTGTGGCCGGCGGTCACATATGCCTCTTCTTTCCGAAGTACCATTGCGAGCTGAACCCCATCGAGTCATTCTGGGGCGCGGCCAAGCGACATGCTCGGTCGAACTGCGACTACTCGTGGAATGGACTCGTCCAGTGCGTCCCTCTCAGCTTGGGCAGTGTGCCGCTGGTCTCGATTCGAAAGTTCTTTCGTCGGTGTTCCCACTTCATCCAGGCCTATAGCTATGGGCTCGACTACGCCATGTCGAAGTATGCCCACAAGAAGTACAAGAGCCACCGGCGCATACCAGACAGCATTGAATTGCACAATAACAACGTTGAATAGGTGACAAGCACAATGTAGTCTTACATTTTTGCACGATATAAGCACGTTTCGACTTGTTCAAATTTGCCACCGTTTGCTCTGAATCGCTCTGTGGGCTTCAGAAACGACGATTTCCTGTTTTTGGAAGGAGCTCTGGAAACTAAAATGGATCTGACCAATCGCTGAGTGGACATGCATTTTGAAAGGTTTTCACCTAGAAAAAAACTTGTGAAATTTAATGGGCCAGATTTGGCCACTTGTCGTCTTTAGATGAAATGCACCATAGTATACAAAAAGCAAGAAACATCTCAGCGGCCACCCCTATGGCCAAATATCCAAGCACTCATGTAAAATACCGCTAGGTTAAATATCTATTTCTGGACCAATTCATCATCAAATTTGAATCTGAGACGTAGAATTTCTTCATCACATCGAGATCTGTCGATTCTACGCTCAATTTGCTGAATTTTTGAGTAATGAATATAAAATAGAAGTGAGAAAATTTTGTGAAAAGTTGGTAGTTTATAGGTGACGTGCACCATAGATCCTGTGTGAATTCTGAAGTGTCATTGGCCAGATAGTTTCCGGATACCACTTCTGATTGGCCCCAAACAACGATGCAAGGCCATTGGCTAAAATGGGAGGGCCAGCAGTGGAAATTTGTTGGTGGCGAAACTATCATGAAGGGGTGCCTGGCGGTCACATCGACAGCACGTTCCCTCCAGGCCATCTCTACGCGGTTCAGGAGCATGCCTGGATGGACAAGCGTGTATGGGCCACATACCTTCGGGATGTCCTCGGCAAAGCGAACAAGGGGTCGTCAGTCGTGCTGCTGGACAACTTCGAGTCACATGTGTCGTATAACATCATGTACGAGGAGCTAGGAGGCCACCTGTTTGCGTTGCCACCGAACGCGACGTCCGTGTATCAACCTCTTGACGTTGGGGTGATGGCGCCGTTTAAGCGCAACCTTCGTAACTTGTGGCTGCTCGAAGACATCATTGTTGGTGATGATGACCCATTTTCGCTTACCTCGCGACAAAAGCGAATGGCGTTGGTGAAGCGGTCGATTGCAGCATGGGACCTTGTGTCGAGCCAAGAGATTCACCGCAGTCTAATAATTTCAGCGTTAATTAAATTTCCACTGAAATTATTTAAGTTATCTTCATTCTTGTAACAGGATTTAGATTAATGTAAAATAATTGGAAAAAGTTTGACACTGCCCGGGAATTGAACCTGTGCCCCTTCCTCTATCACTTTGACGCCCTTAACCATTGGGGGACTACCAAAATCTCCGCATATTATTTTGCTACTGGTAGCAAATGCGACATTTTTCCATTAAAAATACTGGTAGCAAATTGCGGATAGGTCAAAACGGTCTCAGCAAAATACTACAGGTCTGTAGTATTTTGCACTCTACAAACAGATATAGAATTTTAGGATTCCTAAAACAAGTGGACATACGCGCTTCAATTTCTATCCACTCGTTTTATGTGATGTGATGGAGAACCTATTCTCCAATATGTCTAGAGGTAGAGGGCGCGGATGGTGCGCTGGATCCGTGTCCTTGCTGCTTGACCTTGTAGAGGAGCACCTTCCTGCTGGCCGAAACACTTGGAACCGTGTCGAATCGGCGTTCAACAACGGCATGTATCCAAATCATGCGAGTCCCTGGTGGCATACATTGTGTACCATGGTGTGTCTTCTTGGTACGTCACGAGGGATACCGTGCGAACATAGTTGCGTTCCCTCAGCGAACCGCGGATTCGTAGGGCACGCATGAGTCGACGGGTCCTTTGCCGGCGTGCCCAGTGCGCTCCACATCCACTGAATATTTTTAGCCAATTGGAATGTAACGTTATATTTATTTCATCCAATTATATTGAAGTAAAATAGTGAATTGTGAAGGTTTTGGTAGCCCGCCTTATCAAAACACAGCGTGTTCGAGAGACGTCGTGATTAAATATATTGGGTTATCCGGATGCGAAATTGTGAATTGCGTAGGTTTTGGTAGTCCCCCATTGAGCTACCGCGTCAAACGCGCACTGGAATCATCCATCCATTCATATATTTTGTGTAGGACACCTTTGTAAACCGATTACCTGGTTCTTTACATCCCATAGTGTTGTCGTTTGCAGCCATATCGGTGGGAAATCATACTACACAATATAATTACCTGTAATAGAATAAATTGACGTCAGTCAGCGTGAATAAAAATTTCAAAATTGCGCACTGATTGACTCAAAACGAAACGTACACCGAAGTTAGCAATCCAATCAAATGATCCAATTCACGTAGAACTCAAAGACAAAATAGGCCTTGCATTCCGTCGTTCCCTGTAGATGACGTGCACCTGTTAACAGTAAGGGGCTCTTCCAAGTAACTTTCAAAAACGAACGGAGCCAATCAGAATCATTTCCGTCGTATTTTGAAATCTGTTTTTCAAAGCACGACGGCGAGTCATGTTTTGATTGTGATTGGGCCAATAATGCGTTCCAAGTAAATATTGGTGTTGATTTCGTTCACACATTTCAGCATGACAGTCGAGCATGCTGTTACCATCGCGGCGGTTCTAGCTGCCGTCCAATTAGCCGTCAGTACCCCCACTCCCAGGCCCTCCCTCAACAAGGTTTTCTCTGCGTACCGACACGTGGGAGCGTGTTCGAGCGTCCTCCGAGTACCATGGCTGGTACATTCGCAACCTCCGTTGCAGCAAGGCAACGTTTGACAGCATCGTGGAGCGAGTCACGTCACGATGGTTGGCGGTTAACCCTTCGCTCCATCACAACACTGTGTTCGGCATCGTGGACCGTGTTGCTGTCACGTTGCACTATTTGACCCACACCGACGGATTCGCCGCATCCGGTCAAGTGTTTGGCATTAGTTCTACCCGCACCCACAGCTACGTTGGCCAGATCGCGAAAGTCGTTCGTTTGTTTCTGGCGGAAACAATTTCCTTGCCCACGTCACCAGCGGAGTGGTTGGGGGTGTCGCGTGGATTTGAGCTCATTGGGGGCATTCGAAACGTGGTTGGCGTTATCGACGGTAGTTTGATTTCGATTAAACGCTTTGAAGACCACGAAGGATGGTATTGCCGCAAAGGCTTTCCCGCATTTAATATCCAAGGTGAAATGGGTCAACATTCCGTTTTTCGCTTAAATGATGTCTTGGTTGTAGGTATTGTTGATCACAAGATGTGATTTATGTCGTTCTCTATTCGATCGGGGTCACAAAACGACAAGTCGCTGTTCAACCGTTATCAATTTGGCCAAGTCGCTCACAAAGTAAGCTTATATTTCGGTGTAGTTGCTCGGAAACTAATCTCGTTAGATCATTCCGATGGGAACCTTCTTTCTCGCGGATGCAGAATACAAACTATTCCAGCACATGATGACGCCATTTGAGATTCGCCACGTGATGCCTCACGATGAAGCGCACTATAACTACGTTCTCAGCAGCGTGTCGAAAGGGCGTTTGGACTCTGGAAGAACAAGTTTCGAATGTTCAAGAGTCCCCTGGACCATCACACACTCCAAGGTACACTACGACGGCAACGTTATATAATACTGTAAAAGTAGAAATGGCACGCCTAATCGAGGTCACTATGGTCCTCCATAATTGGATTATAGACATGGAGCCAACGGTTTGCGACGAAAACGAGCCCCACGAAGAGATTCAGCACCATGCCGAGTGGATGCATATTGGCGGCGACATCACCCGATTGAACCAGAGAAATTTAGTAGATGGCGAGATAGATAGAAATGCAAGAAACGCTTTGAAATCGTACATTTATTCTTGTGTAAAGAAATAAATGGTACCTCGACAGTTTTACATTATTGACGATTGTTAATGCCTTGAAGTTGGCTGAGGAGCTCGCGCTGGATAGCATTATCATTCACAATATTCTCAAGTAAAGCTACATGAAGCTTCTTTTATTCCTGAATACTTTCAGAAAGAGCATCCAATTTTTGGTTGGTCGTACTTGCATTTTCTATAGATGCAGCGTCAACGAAATCATTTGTAAGGGTTTCGCCCAGTGACACCAACCGCTTGCGACTGACGATGTCGAGGTCTTTTGACGCTTTACTGGACGCTTGGTGTCCACCATGGCCTCTACGTCGTCGCATTCTTCACTAGCCTTGTCGCTGTCGTCGTCGATCGCACGCTCAGCACTTGAGCCGAATTCATTGTGCACAAGCCCACTTTTGTCTCCAAAGTATTCCACCGTGCTCCCAGTGGTGTGGGTGCGCAGCGGCAGCGTCAACATCGTTTCCAGTCGTTTGCTCGGACACTCGAACATGTGAGTACTCTTGCTTGAGACTGTGGTATTTTTCTTTGGCAGACGGGTGAGAAACAACCACCCCCGACACCACGCTGAGTCGCATGGCAATCGTTTCCCACAGGATAGAAAGCTGTTGGTTGCTTTTCGATCCCTGGAACAGCGACGCGTATGTACGGAGGCGTAACTCGAGCAGGACTTTAATCATGTCCACGTTCCATACGGACTTCGGGGCGGCTTGCTTCTCAGGAGTTCCGAGTTCAGAGACGTTGTTTGCCGCCTCGAGTTTGGCGAGACGCTCTGTCAGCTCTTTCTTGGTTGGTGTCTTGATCTTGCCCTTCGCCGCCATTGAACTATGTTTTGACCAGGACAGTGGTGGAGGTCGATATGATTGGACAATCTAGACCAATCATTAGACCTCTTGACGTATGATCAAGCCTCCAGTCAGTGGCCAATTACATTCCAAGTACACCCATGTGTTTTTGGATGGACTTTCATGACTGGTCAGACATCCGGATACTAATACATGACCGAGTCATCTTGCAGCGATCGGTTATGGGATTGGTCCCTCGATCATCTCGTGTACGGTTAATGATTTATCAGTCGTTCACTATTTTCGGAAATCACTCGATGTTTTCCAAGAACACTGATTGGTCACAAGAACGTTCAGTAATCTCCTAATAAACCCCGAAACCCCGCAACCCCGAAAATAGAATTTTGGGTGAACCTGAACAGAATCTCATGACAATTGAAGTCATGACTGTGGATGACTGTGACGGTGATATACTTTGGTGAAACACGAAATTGGCCAAAACACGACAGTTGTGAAAGTATTCCCTCAGAATACCTCATTACGAATCGAAATAGACTCCTCAGACAACAACCACGTCGTTAATCTATTTTGCGAGTGGCACGCATGATCGTAGACTTCATTGTTGTTACTGATCTCAAGAATATCACCAAAAAACGAAATGGCACTTAGTCAAGGCTTACAACATTATACAAGGCGTGCTTACAGCTGGCTGGCGCCTTGATCATTCGTCAAGAGGTCTAGTCATGCTCTGACGTCTACTCGCTAACCACTTAAATGATTAACTGGGTTTTGCAACGTGGCAACTTGAAAAATGGGTGCTTTTTAGGATTTTGTTCTACCTAGGCATGTGCACTGAATTTGTGCAATTCTGTCTAAGTTTTAGTCAATGTAATGAGTTTTATTAGTTAAAGCTCGCCACACATCATAGGATTACCTTACAAAGTAATGCAATTAGGTAAGAAATCGGTATTGACCATTGGAAATACCTCGATCTCTTTTTGGAAAAGGGTCACTAACTACATTATTAATACAAAATCATCTTACTTTTTTGGCGAACTGTTGGGTATTTGTCAGTCTATTTGAATGATGAGAATATGAAAAACTACTTTGTGTCTAGTCAGTCATCCAGTCTCTGGGTTAGAGGTCTATTGCGAAATATGTGTGCAAATAACGACTAAAAAATGACGAGCCAAACACGACGAATATAGCATCAGCCAATCAAGTTCACGTCATGTTTATATTTAAAACACGACCAAAGCAAAAATTACTTGGGTACGCATTTCGGGTTTCAAGTACGACGGTACTTGGAAGAGCCCCTAAATATAAATGACCAAATTCACTGTCAACAAACGATATGTTAGTGGAATTCATGATGTGCAATGATTGGTTAATATGCATGATTTTACTCGAGTACGATTGGTGGATGCGATTTGGGCAACGAACATGGACAAGACAGACGATCGCAACTTGACCGATGCCATCCATGCGGTGGTGTACGCGAAGATGCCAATTCGTCAAGCCACCAAGAAGTTTGCAGTTGCGCGAAGCACTCTGCAGCGCCGGGTACATGCGCTCATGCAGAAGGAATCAGTGGCGGTGGATGCCGATACCCCTGCGGAAGTGGTGGTGGCCACTACAATCCCGTCGGCGATCGTCGACGACAGTGACATGTATCCTCCATTCCTAGCAGCACCACGTCCCATGGAGCCAGTAGCCACCAACACCGTGGAACCTCGTCCTCCCGTGAGTCCCGTTGAAGTGTCGAAAGGGCCGCACAAGGTGATCAATTGCAAGCTGCGGGCGATGCAGAAATCCGTCTCCAGTGCCATTGACGAGCTCAGCAACGATCTCATTCGCCAAGGCAAACCCGTGTACAAGCTGGGCCTTGGCCAGAGTCCGTTTCCGATTCCAGAGTGCATTGTCGACGAGCTAAAGTAGGGTTCCACAATCCCGGTCTTCTCACCTGTCTAACCAAGGCATCCTTATATACTCGCAGAGCCCACGCCCACCAGCGCGACTACCTCCCCGTGGCGGGACTGCCTGAGCTCCGCCAGGACATTGCCACGTGGGCCACCAAGAAGCTCGGCGTGTCATACACGCAAGACGACGTGTTAGTCGGCCCAGGCACCAAGGAGCTGCTGTTCGTGCTGCAAACCGTGTACTACGGTGACTTGCTCCTTCCCAATCCTAGTTGCATGACTTATGCCCCCCAAGCCAATATTGCAGGCCGGTATAGTTCACACATATGGCGCTGCTTGCTACTGAAACATTGGCATGAGTGAGTGAGTGGCGTTGCTTAGCAACATGATTTGGCTGCCAACATACGCCGAAGACCGGTGGGTCCTCCAGCCGTCTGTGCTTGAAGCGCATTGCGCCGCAGATCCATGTACATACTATCTCCATTCCTCAAAGTGAGTATTTAAAATGTGTGGTTTGACATTTTGGTTTAGATGCCCCACGAATCTTGATTCTCAACTCGCCGTCCAACCCAACCGGTTGCTCGTACACTGCCGACGATGTACGCATCACCACATTACCTACAATGCCTACACTAATCACCAGATTCCCTATACTAATCACCACATTGCCTATACTCATCACCACATACATTGCCTATACTAGTCACCCCATTTCCTATACTCATCACCACATTGCCTATACTAGTCACCCCAATTCCTATACTAATCACCAGATCGCCTATACTAGTCGCCACATTGGCTATACTAGTCACGACATTACCTATTCTAACCACGACATTGCCTATTCTAACCACGACATTGCATTTGTTTCGTTAGCTACGAGAGATTGCGACGTTGGCCAAGAAGTTCCGGCTCTTGGTCGTGTCCGACGAACTGTACTCTGACTTGACCCACGAAGCTCACGTGTCCATCTCGACGTATTACCCCGAAGGCACGATTGTGTCGGGCGGGCTTAGCAAATGGTGCGGCGCCGGCGGCTGGCGCGTTGGTTTCTGGCTGTTTTCGTCGGGTTTGGACTGGTTGCGCAATGCGATGCTGGTCATGGCGTCGGAAACGTACACGTCGGTGGCGTCGCCCTTGCAGTACGCGGCGCGCCGGGCGTTTGTGCCTGGGTACTGCTCAAAGTTTGTTCATGTTCTACTATCGAGGTCAACTAAGCTAGTACGATCATATACAGGTGCCCGGAACTGGCCTCATACAAGAAGAAATGTTGCCGAACGTTGCAGCTGGTGGGGCAATGGTGTACCTTTCAGGTAGTACTCTTCAGGGGTAGAATTACTTAATCGATATATGAACACATGTGTATTCTAGCTACACAAGTTGAACGTCCAAGTGCACCAACCACAAGGCGGGTTTTACCTGTTTCCGTGCTTTCGATCGTACCGGCAACTCTTGGCCACACGTGGCATCACCACAGACGTCGGATTGTGCGAACAGTTGCTGCACGACACAGGTGAATCAATGTTGGTTGCATGTCCATATGTATATTGATTAGAAAGTAGGTGTCGCCATCTTGCCAGGGTCCTTCTTCGGTCGGCAACCTCACGAGTTGTTTGTTCGGATTGCATTTGTCGACTTCAAGGGCGAAATCGCCATGTATGTGATCGACAGCGAAGTACGTCGTGGGTATATTTGGCTGGGTTTTTTAACGAATGTCATGGTAGAGCGATGTGGGCCTACACAATCGAGAAGGGTTTGTCCACTCTGTGTGTCCAAATATATGGACAGCCATGAAGTTGCTGACCAAGTGGCTGCAGATCGATTGACACACCAAGTTGACACTACGAATAGTAGGTTTATATATAACACGACTCTTAACGTTTCTTCAATGTCAGAAGTATGTACTGTACAGCACGTTGAAGCACTCCTGGTGAATAATCGCTGTCGATGTGATGTGTGAGTTTTGGACGTTTGATCGAAAGGTGGGACAGGCCACTTGTTACTCACCGTGGGAGGACCGAGTGGAATCAGATTTCATGAGACAGGCGTATCTGATCAGGTCCAAAATTATCTTGAGCCAGTACAAAATATACCACGGTACAAATGTAGTACTCAGTAGCTAGTTCCTACTAGAAGTGTCCGTCTTGACCGGTCGTGCCCTTCCTTCGCTGTCGGCCACGTACGCATCGGAGCGCTGCGGCTACACATCCTCAAGAAAATGTCCGCCGCGTTTCACGTGTATGGTGCGATGCAGCTCCTCCTGCGCCGGAAATTATATGTGGTACATTTCGCCCTCCACTGGATGTCCTCGAAGAGCATGGACGGGGACATACACCCACGAGTACTACAGTACCAGTATTGCAACTGTTAATCAACAACGCTCGTCATAGTAACATGCTACATACCCGTGGGCTACATCCTGAAGTAACGTTAACAGTACTGTAAGTGCCAAACCAATCTTGTACTGTACTACAGTATAAATACTACACCATTTTGCAGTTAAGTTGGACGAATGCCCGATATATTTGGTCGTGCGCCCGATATATTTGGCCATGTGCCCGTTTAATTTGGCACACGGATGTCGTGTGCCCGATATATTTGGTGATGTGCCCGATATAATTAGCCGTGTGCCCAAGTAATTGGCCATCTGCCCGATGTTTGTGTCGTGTGCCCGATGAAAATGGAAATCACGCAATAAAAAGTCAATTCAACATAGAAATAGTCGTCAAACGATAGATGCAGCATCGTTGCTGTGACGTCACATACCAACGCCCATGTTGCCCATGGCCTCCGCGCGTCCATCGAATGTGCGTACCTTGAGGTGAATCGAAAAATGAGCTCTGTGCGCGACAGATTCAAATTTTGGACGGAGTTGAAGTATGGACGAAACGTTGTTGTTGTAAAATATACTTTATTAAAGTATAAATTTCGAATGCTTCGCGCGTTTTCCTCCCAACTTCAGCCACATGATGTTTCCACCAAAACTGATTTGCACTCCATGGAATATAATTGTTTGAGTTATTTCAATTTCATCGGGCACACGACTCAATTCATCGGGTAGATGGCCAATTACTTGGGCACACGGCTAATTATATCGGGCACATCGCCAATTATATCGGGCACAACACCAAATATATCGGGCGCACGACCAAATATATCGGGCATTCGTCCAACTTAACTGCAAAAAGGTGTAGTACTACTACATAATATTACTATAATATGTCCGTACTATTATTAATAGTAGTTCCTAGTTCGATGAAAAAGACCGAATACATACAGTCCATACCCACACGCACGCAACTTATATTAAATATCACATTACGACAAGGAATGGCCTCGTTGCTGCCTCGGTCCACACCTGACGTGGTTGTTGGCCACTCCATTAGTAGTCGTACTCGGAATCGTAAACGAAAACCCGCGAAAGTCGTCGTCGTCGCCGGCGTCGGCGGCAGTATGGTCATCGGCGAGGATGCCGACGCTGGTGCGCGTGAACTCCTTGTCAAAGTTTTGCAGGTCCGTGGGCGAATTCACGCGGGGTTTGAACGGCGGCTTGATCTGTTTGGCGATCAAGGCGGTCCAGTCCAGCCCTGAAAAGAACGGATGCGACCGCAGACTCGCCTCCGAGAGGCGGGCGGCGGGGTCCCGCTCCAAGAGCCCCCGGATCAGCGACTTGGTGGAGGACGCGAGCCCGAACCGCGCCGGAAACGTCAGCGGCTGGTGCAGGATGTTGTCGCACATGCGCTGCACGTCCTTGTCAAAGAAAGGCGGCCACCCCGTGAGCATCTCGTACAGCAGCGTCCCCAGACTCCACCAATCCACGGCGAACCCGTACGCGGCCTTCTTCTTGCGCGCCAGAAGCATCTCAGGCGCCAGGTACTCGGGGGTGCCGCAAAAAGTGCGCGCGCCGTCAAGTGCGCCGACGTGGCACTTGGCCAAGCCAAAGTCGGTGATGCGGATGTGTCCGTTCGCGTCCAAGAGGACGTTTTCTACAGCATCCAAGCAAAATGGAATTTAGAATGACCTGGCCAATCAAATGACACTATGGAGAAATTTCAACCAATCACCGATCATCCCAGCAGTTTGGTTTGTATGTACACTAACTACCATACTAGTGGCACTACTACATGAGGGTAAGGTATTAGCTTAAAAAACAGACACAAATCCATTCCAGAATCCGCTGACATGTGTAGGTATATACTATATGCCCATTTCGCTGATATATATATATATTCAGCGAAATGGGATATATATATATATATATATTCAGCGAAATGGGCATATAGTATATGAAAAAAACCCTCATGGGATATGCTACAGGATTGACATGTTCAATCCAACCATTAGAAGGACATTAACCTCACGAAAGCTATCGTCCATGACAAATATGCAAAAAAACTCAAATACACACCGTACGATCAGCCCTTGTATTATAGTCCAATCAAATGACCAGAATCACCAAATCGGTAGGTAAATCGATCGACCAATCAAACCCCAGATCACGAATCAAGTAGCCAATCAAATCCACTCGTGGACTCGAATTCGGGTGTATACATACAAAAGTCAGTACAACGAATATTGTCGATAAGATACAAATTTGGGGAAGGGGTACAATCGAATCGCACCGACCAAACCGATCCACAATCGATCTGATTGGTTAAATTTCATTGAGAAGGTTTTGATTGGTTATTAATTTTGAGCTCTTCTGAAGTAGCCAATCAAATCGATTTAAATTCCAACGAGAAACCACACAACAACACAATGAAATTTCACTCGAAAGCACAATAGATCGATCGATAGATTGATTTGGTGAATCGAAAAGGCCAAATTTAAAAGGACAATACCAGGTTTGAGATCTCGGTACACGATGCCCTTGGAGTGCAAGTGACCCAGGGCTGCGATGAGCTCGGCGGCGTAGAACCGCACCATGTTCTCGCTGAATGCGCGGAACTTTTTCAGATGGAAAAAGATTTCGCCTCCAATGCAGAAGTCCGACACCATAAACAGCCGCTCCCTCGTTTGGAATGCCACGCGAAGGGTCACGATGAACGGATGGTCCAACACGCTCATGACGTGGCGCTCGGTCATGGTATGGTCCACTTGGTGGCGCTGGATGAGCTCCCTCTTTTTAAGAACCTTCATCGCGTACATGGCCACCGTGGGGGACTTGGCCCGACGCACGAGGTACACCTTGCCAAAAGAACCTTTGCCGAGCACCTTGAGGACCTCAAAGTCGTCCACAGACCACTTGTGTGACAAGTCGAATGGCTCGCGCATCGACGCAAACAAGTCAACGGTTGGACTCGCCGACGTCATGGTGACGCGGTCTTCGAAATCTGCGACATCGGTCAAGATGGGGGTTTAACAACGATGCACGAACCGTCATGCATGGATTCATCCGAGTTGTTGGCGGCGGGAGACAGGAACGCTTCGAGCTCGTGGGGACGAGGACGGAGCGCCAGCAGCGCTTGCAGGTACCTACAACGTTGTAAGACGGGGTGCACGGTCGGTGGTCAGGACGCAATACGTTTCAAAGCCAACCCGGCGTTGCTCAATCACACGAAGCGACAATGACGAGAAGAGACGCTTGGGTGGAAACGGCTGGCTCCGCACGGTGGCGTAGCGCGGACACAGAAGCTTGTGCAGAGCGCGGAACTCGCTGTATCGCTTGCCAAGGTTCCATGTCGAGTCGGCGGATTCCACTGACATCATAAAGACCGTGTAGCGCTGCTGGCGTTGCAATTCCAGCCGCGAGTCCCACGAAGGAATGCGCACAGCCGTCACATTCACCATCATCGCCGCCGCTCTATCGCGAACTTCGCCGTGTGTGCCACCACCCTGCCAGGATGTGAAACGATATGTATCCGGAAATTGGAACGGATACCGGATAATGCAATCCTCCAGTTGCAACCAGCAATTTCAAAGGCCAGCACGATCTCAAGGGCAAGTCCTATCCACTGCACAGTGCCAGCTAGCTTTGCTACACATGCCATTACTGTCCTCAAAGTACTAATAAGCTTGCCTACTACTAGCACATGTACATGTGTGTACTAGGATTTCTGTCCTACGTAGTTACAGTACGCTATGAATACCTCAGATAAATGTGATGGTGAGTTTGAATACTACCGGTACTTACTTGCATATTGGATGCAAATTGAACCAGCGACAAGGCGTAGTCACTACAGTACTGTACTGTGTCACTACTGCAGAATTGTCGAGGTCATTTCGAAAGATTTCAACACTTGAATCTTACTAATGTTACCGGTACAGTAGTACACTATAATTGCTTCGGTTTGTACTGTACAGTACTGTAGTACCTTAGTACTAGTAGCTCTGGTACTACGTAGTACTAACTGTTAAGCAAAAGGACGAGGACTTTTAATAACTGTTGAAAGTTTGAGAGGACGTCCCTGCTGGAAAAAACGGCGGCAGTATCCGGATGTTTGTTGAATCGGTTTCGACAAATCTTTGGATTCTATCGAATGGGGGCGATTTTGAGAAGATCAACCAAATGGTCAACACGCATGTGCACGTGGTCATCCCGCCGTCGCGCCAGGACAACCAGCAGCAACAGCAACACTCGCCGTCGTCTGTGAAGGCTGCAAGTGTCCATCCCGCAACCGATGCCTTGCCAGAGGACGACAGCCATGCCGCCATGCATGGAGCCACGTTCACAGCTTCGCAGTCCAAGCTTCCAAAGCTATTCGACAGCAACAACCACAACTTCGGCGATGACGATCTGATGGGCGATGCATCAGTGTGCACTCCGTCGCAAGTGCAATTACCAGGGGATATGGTGCGAGCCATCTTAGGCTTTGTCGATGGCGCGAGCCTTGTGGCTTGTACCAGTGTCTGCACAACTTGGAACGTCCAAACCCAAGGGCGAGAACTATGGAAAACCGCTTGTCTTAGAAAGTGGCCAAGTTTGCACCATCAGCTGTTGCCGCAGCTCCCTGGCGCCCCCGACTACGACGTACACGCCTTTCCTACGATTCCTTCTTACCATATTATTATTGTCTCCATAGATCATTCGGCTCTACGGGGGTAGCTGGAAGTCATGCTTCTTGCAAAACCACAAGGTATACCGTCGTAGCCTCTCGAGTCCATCCCCGCTCATCATGTCGACTAGAAATGCCAAACGGCCGAATGCGAGGTTCTAATCCCTCACTTTAAGGCCACGGGGTACCAAGGTCCCGATCGCATCGTGTCGGACACATTCTGCATCGACGGCCATTCCTTCTGCCTCTGGATCTTTCCACGTGGCAATCCCAACGAAGCCGAGTACTTTGACCGCGCGTTGTCCGTGTATCTGGTAACGGACGCCTGTGGTGGCGCCACGTCATAGGCAGTGCTGATTGTGTCCACAACATATACACAGGTGCTCACAGACCTGGAGACCCGGCCAGAGTCTTGGCTCACTTGCGCCGTGTTTACATTGCGCGTCGTCCACCCCACCGATCCGTCCAAAACGTAAGTCGAGATTCACCGTTATAAACCGTTATCCAACGTTAAAAAACGTTATTCCGTCCTCTAGCATAGAGTGGCACTCGTCCCTGAACGACAACAAGTTCGACCAGGCGCTGTACAATTGGGGCGTGCATTCACTAGGGGACCTGACATCGTTCCAACCGAGCGGGTTCGTCTTCCCCGACCGGTCGCTGCATGTAGCCGCCCGCGTCCGCGTCATGGCCATGACTATTCGCGTGCATTTGGAAGCCGGGTTCCTTTCCCATCAAGGCCTCGGACTCGGACCTCCCATGCTCACGCTGGACGTGCCGTTCTGCGCCACCCTGGCCGATCTCATGGCGGCGCTCGCGGGGGCGTTGCCGCTCTTGGACCTGCGGGAGTGCCGCGTGTGGAGCTTCAGCCACGCCGCTGTGACGGGGTACAAAGCCCCGCGTATGTGACACGGTGACATTTGATGATTCAAGTCGCTGGTTGTTGTTCATAGGCAAGCCAAGCGCCCTCGGAAGTGCCTGTCGACGCTGGCGGCGGCGACAATGCCGTTGTTCGGCAACTTGCTGTGCGACGGCACCGACATCGACGCGTACTCGACCGCCGATGTGTTTGTCGACCCAGCGGGCTTGGACTCGTTTGTTTTTTTAAAGGTGCTCGAGCGTAGTGGTGTGCTGCGGTTCGTCGGCCGGCTGCAACTGTCTGCGTACCCGACGCCGCACGACATGGTGGCCTACATGGCCACGGCATTTCCCCGTGTCGCAGGCTGGCGGTACGTGCGGGAAGAGTGCGCGCCGCAGCTGATGAGCCCCCTGTCGCCGTCGGACCGACTGCAGCCGTCCGATGTTGTCATCTTCGTGGCGGCTACTAATACTCCTTCCAATGATGACGCCGACCACTGGATGACACATGTGCGTCATGGCTTGAATCAATACCTCGAACGCAGGTACGAACTATATGTATAGTACTTGATCATACGAAAAATACCTTGTGACAGTGAATGTATCTTTTACGCAAAATTGGGACTTTTGTGCGGATTCTTTGCCAAATCTATCGATCGATTCGATTCTTTGTCCTGACTTTTGTAAAGTTCGTACTAATTTCATTCACACAATGATTTGATGTTGAAGTGGTCGACGAGTGGATTTGATTGGCCACTTGATCAGTGTTCTGGGTTTTGATTGGTCGATCGATTGTCTGCTGATTTGGTTATTCGGCACATTCCCCACTCCCAATTTCGAATCGACTTGACTGTGATTCGAAGTAACTTATTTCCTAAACTTGATAACTTATTCCTAAACTTGATAACTTATTTCCTAAACTTGATCATAATAACGACTCATGGAGGGTTTGGGATGTTGGTGTTTACTAGTATGTGGGGGTACCTAGGTATGACCATGCGCGCTCATTACTCGCAAATGAACTGCATCACATGACCCTCCATGACGTGGAAACCATCGGGGACATGCTGGACGTGCCGCGATTCCGCGTCCACAGCGTCTTTGCCAAGTGCCGCGAAGACGCGCGCCGCACCCTCAGTTATATCATGGAGGGTCGCCACCTGGGCTTCATATGCGATTCGTGCGGGGAAACTGACTTTGGCGGCGCCAGGTACAACTGCACCGTGTGCAGCGACTACGACCTGTGCCACCGGTGCTACGGTACGTCGAATGTATTTGTTTGTCTGTGCATGTTGATGGAGCGGAGCTCGTAGATCGGTCGTACGAGGTACGCCATCGCTACGCCAACGTCGATGGCAAGTGGACTCGCGTGCTGAATTTCGATCAACATAAGGCCGCCACACATGCTATGGACTGCATCCTCCCGGTGTTTTACACCCCATAGACGCAATTGTTTGTTGTACTAACTTAGTAGTAGTAAATCATATGAAGTATGTCAAACCAATAAATATTAATAGTATTGGTTGGCATACTACTGAGTCCATAGGTATGGTGTAGACAATCATAATGACTCTGCCAACTAGTACAACAGTAACGTTTACCGGAGATAGCATTTCATGATTGGACATATTTTAACCAATCCTTGAGAACCTCAAAAATGTTCCACGTGTCGAAGTGCAGTCAGTTTAGGACGTCATCAGTGGACGTCCATGTTGCATTGACTCGACCTTGCTACGTGGCGGGCATCGGGAGTCCTCACGTAGTTTCACTCACTCCACTGGCAAATCGCATTCTGTTGATGCCTTGTTCTCACCCCTTAGATACTAACATGTACCCACCCAGCCCTGAAAATAAATCATTCGATCCAACAACACATAAGAAATAGTGATTATTAGAGAAAAATACATAAAGCATGGAACTTATCGAACGTCATCCAATAGAATAAGCCTTTCATCCACATGTCATCCACATGTCCTGTCATCCACACGTCATCCACAATATACTAACAGTAAAATACTACGAAGCCCACCACACTATAATCATGTGTCGACACTATTTAAAATCGCAGAACACTAGAGATAATTTAAAATCGCAGAACACTAGAGATAATATATTTGGCCATTCCTGGGCGTAGGCTAGGCGGATTTTGGATTGCTTGAGCGTTTTCCATATCTACGTGCTTATGTGAATACTCTAGATCAAGTCTCATTAGTTTATATGCAGGATAAGTTGGTCAACGAGGTACGTTTTTCTATGTATCGCATTGAATTTCTTTGCTTTTTTAATATGCGTACTAGTGGCGGTTGAATGTGGTATGTTGTCGAAGCGGGGTAGCGCCAGCGAGGTTGTGGACGGTTCGTGGGGCTGCGTTATACGAAGGAGGTTCGTACTATATTTTGTAGCATTTTTTGCGAATTAATTAGCTCACCACACATTATATTAGCGGCGGCCATAGTATGTGGTGCGGCGGCGCCGGCAGTAGGCGTCGGGTGGATGGTGGGTTGTGTTCTGCGCGTCGAACGAGGTACGTTTTTCTATGTATCGCATTGAATTTCTTCTCTTTTTTAATATGCGTACTAGTGGCGGTTGAATGTGGTATGTTGTCGAAGCGGGGTAGCGCCAGCGAGGTTGTGGACGGTTCGTGGGGCTGCGTTATACGAAGGAGGTTCGTACTATATTTTGTAGCATTTTTTGCGAATTAATTAGCTCACCACACATTGTATTAGCGGCGGCCATAGTATGTGGTGCGGCGGCGCCGGCAGTAGGCGTCGGGTGGATGGTGGGTTGTGTTCTGCGCGTCGAACGAGGTACGTTTTTCTATGTATCGCATTGAATTTCTTCTCTTTTTTAATATGCGTACTAGTGGCGGTTGAATGTGGTATGTTGTCGAAGCGGGGTAGCGCCAGCGAGGTTGTGGACGGTTCGTGGGGCTGCGTTATACGAAGGAGGTTCGTACTATATTTTGTAGCATTTTTTGCGAATTAATTAGCTCACCACACATTATATTAGCGGCGGCCATAGTATGTGGTGCGGCGGCGCCGGCAGTAGGCGTCGGGTGGGTTATCTACCGCGCAGCTAAAGATGAACAGTAGGTTTCTACACATCGATCTAATTCGCACATTTGCGTTATGCGTGTAGTGGGGCAACGGTGGTGTTGTTTCACCTTGGGTATACGATGCAGTTGTACAATAGCGCATTAGCATACCTTGTACGGCACTGGTAGAATTTCTAACGCTAATGCACCACTACTGTAGTACTCAACACGTTCATAACATATTCCTGTATTAACTTGCATCCATTGGTAGTACAGTGTAACTTACACTATGTAAGTTAGTGAAATTTCAATACTATTAATATTAATGTAAATAGTACTGAAGTACTATTTCCGACTACGTAAGCTTACTGTTACTATTACTCCAGATTGTGAAAGTCATCCAGGAATATTTGTAGTCATCCAGGAATATTTGAAGTCATCCAGGCCAAATTGGATTCATCCATATCCTAATTAGGTTTCATACATTTGTATTTAAATGTACTACAAGAACGTATGTGATTATTTATGTTTGGTGTCATCCAACGCCGTCCTCGTTGTAAGTACTAGTAGGTATTATCTTTGATATCGTATCTACATTATTATCTCGAAGATACTATATTTACTGTGGTTTTGAAAACTAGGGGGGCTATTAATACATAATACTATTATCAACAGTGTTGTTGTTAATGCATTTTGATGTAGAATTCGTGGGCCCTTTTTCGACCTGAAATAGTGTTACGTGGCCAGATAACAATGAGTTGCACTTGCATATTTTTATAAACAATATTATCCATCACTATTTCAGCGTGCATACTTTATTCCATATATACACGAGTGCAACGCTGCGCCAGTTCCTTCGTGGTTCTCTGTAGATATCGATAACAAATATGTATTCGAGCATCCTCCAATTATCTGAGTGGCAACTGGCGCGCCGTTGACCTACGCAGATGAACTTCGGGCACCAAAACGATGCCAAATAGAACCAACAGCAAACCAGTACTTACAGGTTAGTACTGCAGTTTGAAGTTTGTCCTACCCACTAGCAACGGGGTCGAGTGGGTCATGAGCGTCCATCATGACAGATTCTACAAAGCACATCCATCCGGCGAATTTCGAGATGATGATATGCCTTGGCGCGAGTGCCTCGTACTGGAGTGTGTGTTTCCTCCCTTGTGTAACTATAAAATCTGAATCAACAACAATACATGGCTACAGTACTTCGTTATTATTACTGCGTAGTACTACCTCTGTCCCGGTTTTATTGCTCCAAACGGCATTTTTGAGAAACGAACACAATGTTTTCTGATAAGTATAGAGTGTGCGGTATGTTTCAAAAGAGCAGAACTCTGCGAATTCAATTGAAATCAAATTGAGTTCAAATACATCTAATCAAATACGAGAGAGCAATCAGAAGACTCCATACTGTGGCTCATATAATTGAAATAACCACGCTCAATAAAAACAAATTACGGATAAAAAAAACGACATCCGTACATACAAGCCTCAAATAGTATTTTCACCGTAATTTCGCGAATATTACTCCAATTTTGATGCAATAAGGCTCAAAATCAGCGCATTGGTTGGCGCTATCGATTGGCGCCGATTTCAGGCCAAAAGGACAAAATTGTAGTACTATTATGGTATTAATAACTGCTCACGAAGCATGGTTGACATTGTGGACAATACGGAGCGTGTGTGGAGCGATGTTGACCCGGCCACGTTGAATGCCAACTTTTTGACGTTGCAAGAATGCATGATGGAAGTGATTCGTTGCGCGAGTGGCAACAATTTCAACATACCACACATGAAGAAGGCCGTGCTCACTGCGAAAGGTCGCAGTGACTTGTCGATTGAAGCGGATGCTGACGTTGTCAACGCCAGTAGGGAATTGCTAAGTGAGTGTGACTTGTCTACAGTCATCTTAGAATTGGCGAGCAAAGTGGCGAAGAACTTGGAAATGAGCGATGTCTGCACGGAGCTTGAGCGTCTGGATGTCGTGGAAGGTTCCGATGATGAAGAATTTGACATACCATCGGTACTTGGATTAAACATTTGAAATAAATGTACTTGATTTTTGTATGCAAAATATAGTGTTTTTTTCTTCAATCTACTGTTGTACGTTTGGAGCAATTAAAATGGAACTTCAAGAATCTCGTTTGGAGCAATAAAACCGGGACAGAGGTAGTAGTAAAATACTGAAGAATGTACCACTGTAGTGGTACTGTTATTAAATTGGTAAGTGAGCAAGAGGTCTAATGATCAAGAAATTTGTAAGTGAACCAGAGGTCTAATACTGTAGATCTCTGGTTCACTTACAATTTCTTGATCAGTCATTGCCAATACTGTAATACTGTACATTAATATACTTCGAAGTATGTCTATAATTAAAATAAGTAAATGTGACAGGATTGGCAAAAATCATATTAACGTTGTAAATGAAGAAGAGATTCGACAAATGATCAAAGACTGCGTCATTGTAGAATAAACCGATTCAAAAACAATATGGCAACGCTATTCCGCATTTACAACGTACGGTAGTATATGACAATATTCTACTCAATAGACCTCTTGTTCAATTACAAATTTCTTGATCAGTCATTGCCAATACTGTAATACTGCACATTAATATACTTCGAAGTATGTCTATAATTAAAATATGTAAATGTGACAGGATTGGCTAAAATCATATTAGCGTTGTAAATGAAGAAGAGATTCGACAAATGATCAAAGACTACGTCATTGTAGAATAAACCGATTCAAAAACAATATGGCAACGATATTCCGCATTTACAACGTACTATATGACAATATCCTACTCAATAGACCTCTTGTTCACTTACAAATTTCTTGATATTGAGTAGAATAGTGCCAACCAGGTCTAGGTAGAACGTTCAGGTCCTCAGTCGCCGGACCTGAACGTTCTAGACCTGGTTGGCACATTAGCTGGATGTTCCAACCACCCTCAGTTGCCGCTCGAACTAACAAGGCATCGTCGACAGCAATGTGCCCCATTTGTGCTTACTTGCTGAAGCTATTGGTACAGCGCCATGCGCTTGTCGTTCGTCAAATTTGATTTGGAATTTGTATTGCGAGCAGACTTGGAGTCGTAGCAAGTGCGAATGTGGTCAAATAATTCAACAAAAAATATGATCAGAATCGCCTCAATGAAACGAACACGCTCTACTAAGTTTTAGGCCAATCGGATAACTGGAACACTAATTTTTGTCACCGCCTGCACTTACAGTGTTAATACCTAGGTAGCAGAGGTAGTAAGTAGTTTAGATAATGTTACTAGTAAGTCGCAATAAATACTACTGGTACTACTGTACTACTTACTACGTAGTACTTGGAAGTATTGCCTGGCCAAAACCTGAAACGTCGGGGCAGTTACAACGTTCCTAGCGAACGCCCACGCATGGACAGGTCGGATGATCTGTTGCGCGGCGATACCCCGGGCAGTCGGTCCAAGTACGCCCGCATACATGGTGGTTGTACCCTGGCGCTTACATGAACGTAGCGAAGATGTCAAGGCGTCGGCGGTGGAGCGCATGCGGAAGCTGCTCATGACGTCGAGCTATTCGCGCACCCAGGATGACTACGAGTTTATGGATCGGTTTGGTGAGTCTAGCCCTTGTGAGTAGATGCCTCGCTAACACTATATGCAGTGCTGTACATTCAGTTCTTTTTCGACTTGGACCACGCCGACCGGCTGCAGTACCTCAAAGTCAGCCGCGGCGTGTCACTTGTCAAGCATCAGATCCTCTTCAACATTGGCGACCCCGCTGACTCATTCTACTGCGTCATCTCTGGGTAGCTACTCCCTCTAGTAGTACTATCACCTACTAGTAGTCTAAAATAGGGGATAGCTAGTCTGGGTACTGTGATAGCTACAGTAGCTATCCCCTCTACTATGTAATGTAGTAGTGTCATTTAGTCGTCGTTCAACATCGTCTCATCTATGTCTCGTGCTTCCAGGTCGCTCAATGTTGTCATCGACTTGACCCGCGTGCACATCAACACGAAACGTGAAATGAACGACATCCTGAACCGAGCCAAGATCTACTCGTGTTTGCACAACCCTGGCGTCGGCGTCGGTACACCAAATCGATCAAAAATAGTCCAATTGATCACCCGAACCCATACTAGTCTTCATGTTGGTTACTGAATATGTGAACATGCCGTAGACGAGTCGCCATATTGCACGTCGTATGTGGTGCGGAACCTCAAACGATTCGACGCTTTCGGTGACGTTGGGATGCTCACCGAGGACGGCGTCCGGACGGCTTCCGTGATGGCGGTGGAGGACACGTTCCTTCTCCGGATCGAACGCGAGGCGTTCTTGGATTGCCGAGTGTTTCACCAGAGCAAAGAAATCAAGTTGGGCAAAATAGCCACATTCGTCGTTTTTACCTGCGTTTTTACACCAATAATATATATTCGTAGCCAAAAGCTGGAATTCCTAGCCCGTGTGCGAGCCCTGCAGCACTGGGACCGTGAAAACAAGCTTAAGTTGTGTGGTCGGATGGAGCGGCTACTCAAGTCGTACAACGACGTTGTGATCGCTCAAGATGACGACGCTCGTACGTGCACTGAACACGCCAAATAAAATGAATGGCTATGAAATGTCCAAGAGAAATATTGTTGCTTTAACATATCAGGTAGAGTACTTTTACCTGGTGCAGCTGGGCGAATGTCGCCTGGTGAAGCGATACAAACCCAGCACGTTCGTGGAACTGGGAACTGTGTCCAGGTTGATTGAAACGATGGTTTTCATATTATAGTATTTTAGACAGCTTGAGTTTGCCCTGTAGCGGCCAATCCGTCGGGTCGTTTGAAGTCCTCCACGGCCTCGCCCATGCAGCGTTTTCAGTGCTCGTGTCGTCCCCCACTGCCATTCTCTATCGCATCGACAAACTCGGTATATATTCGTGCTATGTTGAGTTCCTATTTACTAAGTAGTACTATTCATGTACTGTATGTCAATGTCCCTTTACTACTACAATAGTCCTGGATTCTGTCAAACTGATTTGTAGATTTTCGGCATCACATCCTGCGGGACCCGGTCGCGGAAGAGATGATGGTCGTGAACGCGAAGGAGCTATATGCGAGGATGCACCCCGAGTCTGTCCATCGCGACTTGACCATCAACGCGCAATGGAACAAGTGCAGAGACAGCATCGTCGCGGAGGCCACGCCGCGGCGACTGGCGAGGGCGCCGTACTTGCGGCCGTTCGACCACAGTCTCCACCCGTCGCCGTTAGAGTCCACACCTCCCCCTCTATCAACAGCATTGCGCCCATCTGCTAGCACGACAGGGGAAACTACTACTTCTTCCCTGACACTGCACTTGCCCCTTCCATCTTCCCCCCAGTCCTCCCCCACCAAACCAACGTCACTTCGAAAACCACACAAGGTCAAAACACGATCCTCGGGAACTTCCCCGAGACAAGCCAAGTCGCTCCACCCTATCTCAGCAGACACAGCATCTCAAAAGTTGCATGTCGGCCAACAGCACTGGATGGAGGTATTCATATGTATAATGTTTTAGTCGACAAAACCACGTGGCCTCTAATTTTCCGACTATAAACGTGGTACTTTCTTTTGTATCGTGGTAGTGGGCTTCGAACGGGGCATCCAACGTGTCGGTGGAGCGGACGGGGGCTGCGTCTTCTTCACCCCTCCACCAGTCGCCGGGTCCCCGTCCCCCGTCCACGCCTCTGGAATCGAAAGGCGGGTCCACCACCAGACATCGGACAACGCAAATCCTACTGGACAAGAGCGCACGCCGCGTGCAACTGGACGACCACACGAGCATCCCCGAAACGGTCTCCACGGCGTTCAAAGCCATCACGCAGACCGCAACGTAACCACAAACCAAAGACACGATCAATAGTTTCTTCAACTTATTTAGTACTCTTCGTACGACTTGTAGTAGTAGTAGGATGGGTGGGCTCGATTATCACGAGTCAATCAAGCGCGACGACATTCGTCGTTATAACGATGGCTTTAGTGTGTGACGAGTACAGCAAACACACTGTATATCTGTGCTATCGAGACGCCACGCCACGGAAACGAGGAGGACTACTGTCGCTCGTTTGTGCATGCTCTCGAATTGTGTACACCCACGGATCCAGCGACGCCATGCGTTTATTGAATACCGCAGGACTCGAGTGACGTGGAGATGCCAGTTGATGCGTTTGGGCGTGTCGTTGCACTTGAAGGAACGTCTTAAGAAGGGGCAGGATGGGGCACGTGGTGGTGGGGTCGCACAACGCGACGCTGTGGGCCAGCAAGGCGAGGGATACGGTGAGGAACTGGCTGAGGGCGGCCCGGCGCTCGATGGCTACTTGATCCGATGTGAAGAACATGTGTAGCCTTTTGCGGGGAAACGACATGGACGACAGGGGCAAGTACACGCTACGGCAGGCGCAGTCCGCGGCCGCCGTGAGCTCGAGCAACGAATTGCGCAGGCGGCGGAACTCAGAGTACCGCTTGTACACGACCCATCTTCGATCGCCGTACTGGACCATGATGCCGTACGATAGATGGGGTTCTTTAGAGATGCTCACAATCGACGTGGCCAGCATGGGGGGGGGGCTATGGCTAATGTGCATCGTATGCAGGTGCTGCTTGGTTTGGACAAAGATGTAGAGTGAACTACTGTAATAGGACTGTAGGTAGCTAGGCAGTAATGTCATGTAACTACCAACTCAAGAAAGCGAGTAACAAGTGTAGATCGCCCTTGATTCTACGGCTGAACGTGGCAGAGGGGCGGTTCGAACGTCTGGACTTTTTCATCTGATTGTTAGCGGACGACGTATGTGTAAAATGAGGTGAATGATACGTTTTAGTCTTTAACGTACTCGATGGAAGATGTCAAAACAATATAAACGTTCATTGATGGAAAAAAACAATACTAATTCCCCCACAGCAGGTATTATACCCCCCTACCATTAAAACACCCAAACTATACCTTTACAGTGGGGGAATTCCTTAGATAAGACTCCCCACACATTTACAAAAAAAGACCTTGTAACCTGGGACTTCGTCCAACCCCCGGTGGGCATGGATATTTCGAAGTATAATGTTATTCCCGGGGTTAAGCGCATCACAGCGGTTAGCTACCGCTAGCCACTAAGATGCCTTAACCCCTAGCTGACATGCGCTGCTGCTGGTGCTACTGTATAATTAGAAATCCTACGATTGTACTTATTTGTGCAACAAATCCTGAGTTCAGGCGTCCTGATTGGCTGTTGTATGGTATCTCAGAATTCCCCAAATAAATAGTTTGGGTGTTTTCAAGGTTATACCTGCTGTGGGGGAATATTGACGAATAATATTTCGAGTGGCGAAAATATCACACCAGTTTGGCAAAGTACTGTATGTATGTACTGCAAAGTGGCATGCCATTCGGTCATAAAGCAGTTTGGGGACGATGACATGTCGTTAGGAGGTCATGTGACTGGTGACTACCACAGTCATTTCAGCTGTGAATACCTTGGTCAGGCTGGAGTTGGAGCAATTTCAGCAAGATGGTTGAACTCGCGGCAGCACAGTACGTGTGAACATACTCAGAGAGAACTGGCCCCCTAATTCTTTCGCTTGATTGATACTAGCCAACGATCATCCAAAATGAATGGTGTCTATTGCCTTAGGAAGAAGTAGTAGAATAAAAACAAGTCGATCACGACAAGCACGACGATGATGAACCACAGGAACGCCTTTTGCCGAAGGTGACGCTCCCGCAGTTCCTTCAAGTACGCATTCGCTTGGGTCGTTGCGACCTTGGTGTCGTTCACCATGTCCTTCATGTCTGTAAACTGCCCACGCTGCGCTTCTAGTTCTACAAGGACATGCTTTGCCGTGCGGTCCGCTTCCGCGATCGTTTGCTTGGTCAGTTCAATCTTGTCCGAGGTTGCTAGCAGGCGCTGGGCAGTCTACGAAGGGCAACATATGAGATACGATGCTGGTGGTGGCATGTCGAGGGGAATGTACGGGGTCGTGTGTGCTGCCATAGTTGCTCATTCGAGTGCCCGTCAGGTTGGTGGTTGCAGATGCGGGCTTATTGTTCTTCCGCATATCCCTGGCTTTGGCTGATGGAAGAATAGCAGCACGAGTTCAAGTGGGGCAATGCACCAATCAAATCGCATTGCTGTGGATATTGATGAGGATTCTAGCCAATCCGATCGTGCCCTCATATTGATTTTATTTCCACCAATCACACCCCGACACTATTCAATACTTATTCCACGGGGTTTCACTTCAACAGCGATCCAATCCACTCGACCAACGTCCGAGCAACCTCGCGGGTGTCTGCGTCCACATGGGGACCGTCGCGGGCTTCCTGCAGTATCCTAGTGCATGCATGACATACAAGGGAACCTGGCGAGGCATATACCGCGCCATGTCTGCCAAGCAGGAAGCGGGGACGAGTTGAGGCGCTTGCTTCGCCTCGGACAAAAACACCACAATCGTCTGGGCCGCCTCCATGGATATCTATCTTCGTCGTCATCGCCTGCGTGTATGCATGTCCATCTGTTGATATTACCTGTGCGTTCTCGGAAGCAGATGCCACCAACCGAGTAGTTGCGAGAACCACGTTAGCGACACTTGGAACGTGTTGGAATTGTGTCGCTTGCAACCCACGATGTTTGATCAACGTCATGAGGAGCTAGATGGTATGGTCCGTCCAGGGTGATACGTCCATCTACTAGTAGACGAAGTAGCGCGTACCTTTAGACATGCCGACAGGAGTAGCATAGAGATGGGCGGCGTCTGGTCCACAAGGCAGTCGTGGATGTAGGGCAGGGCGTAGGTCACTAAAGTTGCCAACGCGTTCATGTCCAAGCGCGGGATGCAACTACAACAGTGTCATAGAATCCTCGCATGACATGTACGCCTCGTACTTGAGCAAGACATTGCAGCAGCACAGGCGCGGTGGCATCTCCAGCGCATGGCCGTTCAGCATGGCGAAGCGGCCACGAAAGGCAGCTTCTAGCCAGCATTCCACCCACTCTGCATACGTCTAACCACCACATTTACTCAAAAAGCTCCAAAATTTTGACGAAAACGCAAAATAGTGTAGAAAAAACCGTCACAAATGTGCAAAAACAACGTCAATAGATGTAACATCGACGTTTAATTCGTCGTACAGGGGCGCGTGTCGACGGACGATGCGTCGTCGCATGGTGCAGCAACACCGTCATGCACTCAATACCCCCTCGCTGCACTCTGTACAATAGTGACATCCCGTCACTGGAAGACGACGTTGCAGTGACATCCTCCGTCCCCCATATCTCGAGCACCAGCTCCAGCACAGTGGAGAGCCAATCCTGCGACGACTCGACGTGGTTAACTACCAACATACTGAGGCAGTACACCATCAACGTGGTCGTTTGGGCAGACGACGGGGCATCGAGACGCGGCAGGTTCTGTGATGACGTGGCAGAGGGAGGTGGTAGAGACTGTAGAAACGATCGCAAGTGGTGCCGAATCATTGGCACGGTCGTGGTCACAGGTAATTTGGCCAATATATCCGCCGCAAGTTTACGAATGTCTTCGCTTTCGCGGTCCTAGTAGTGGCAAAATGTATATTATACAATCAACAAGAGTAAATATGCGATAGAGTACACGAACGTGGACGAAAAAATAAAATCAAGTCGCGATTATTTTGAATATTATGTGTTTTCATCATAACACGAATATATCGCGTAATAAAACAATGACTGATATATTGTGCTTTCGAGTGAAATTTCGTGTTGTGGCGTGGTTTCTCGTTGGAATTTAAATCGATTTGATTGGCTACCTCAGATGAGCTCAAAATTATTAGCCAATCAAAACCACCTTCTCAATGAAATTCAACCAATCAGATCGATTGTGGATCGGTTTGGTCAGCGCGACCCCCTCCCCAAATTTATATCAAATCGACAATATAAGAGTATGAATGTACCTCGGACATTAGGGTCAAGAGCATCTTTACGATCGGGGCAGGGTCAACCTGCAATTATTAATACATATCACGTTATAAGGGTACACAATTCCACGCGTTTTGATTGGTTGTTTCTTACCAAGTTTGTAAAACACGTCACAGCGGCCATGCGCAACGCCAAGAGAGGGCGTAATTTGAAGAACAGTAGCGCATTTGTTGGTTCGTATACTATAGCTACGTGTGTCTGCAACACCAGGGGTCAATGAGCAACTCCAGTGCTCCATATATATATAAATTTATATATATATATATTGTCAAGTCGATTCGAAATGGGAGTGTTTGGGTGCTCAATCGAAGGAGCAGAATCACCAAATCGGCAGACAATCGATATACGTACGACCAATCAACATCCTGAGACTAATCAAGTGGCCAATCAAATCCACTCATTTTCGACCAATTCAACATCGAATTAGTGTATAACTTCAATTAGTGTGACACTCGACGATTTGTACATACAAATGTCGTCAGTACATAAAGACTCGATCGATAGATTTGGCAAAGTATCCGCACAAAAGTCAACCAAAATTGGGGTAAAACGATACTAGTATTTGACTAAACAATAGCAATAATATATATACCTCAAGATGGGCCAGCACAACCGGCAAAATCTGAGCAAACGCGTGCGGAAATTGCTTGAGCAACTCCCGCAGTATAACCATCGACACAGTGTCCCGGGAACTTCGAAAGAACACCCTCGTGACATCGTGTAGGACGCCAAGTAGATTGGACGGCGGCACCTGCGCCAGCCATCTACACATCCGATCATTGTTTCCATATGGAGCATATCAGAGGTAGATGGAGGAGCGAACCGTGGGCAAGCCTGCAGAGCGTATGGTGCTGCTGCGTCGGTCGTAGCTGGAGGTGCACAGGGAGCGAGTATATCGGCGGGGGATCGAATGGACGAGGAGGATGATTGAACCTGTGGGTACCCCAAGTTTTGAATCCCAGCCAAGATAGACGCCACTGCCGCTTGGCAAGAGACGGGTGTGGCAACCATCAGTGTCAACATGGTATGTGCATGTGGCGATGGTAACCGACCCAAATAATGCGATACAGTGAGGTTCCCATCCAGGGATGGAAGCAGGCTGGCAGCCTACCCATGTCACATATCCGTTTTACGCGATGACGACTACTAGACTAGGGCAATATAAATGACGTTATATACATACTTGACGGCGAATAGACATGGACGGATGATGGTCGCACAACATCAACACGGACGGAGTGATGGTCTTCGCCATATGCAAGGCCGTAGCGGACGAAGTCGGCGGCGCCGCTGACCCTGACGGTTGGTGGACTGCCATCATGTATTGGGACAACCGGAGCAGAGTCACGATGATGGGATCGGGTGTGTCGGCACATTCCAGCGCCGTTACCATCTACAACACACCACATCATACACTCCAAAATCCTAGACTGTTCTTGTATCGAGGGTTTTAGGCGCATCATAACAAGAAGCACATGGAATCGACTCGAGAACTCCTTGTATCGAGGGATGCCATTGGAATCTGCTTCATGCATGTACCCGTTCAAGAGGGTACTGGGTCATGACGAGGATCTCTGCCATGTCGGCCGTCCGTTGCAAAGCTGTCGATGGGTTTATAAGGGAGTTGACTAGCGGAGTCAGGAGCTCCCACAGCCGACGGGCATCGAAGTCCGGGGCGGACTTCGAGTGGTGGTAAAACACGTGGCGGAAGATAGCGACGCCCACACATGCAGAGGGCGCCTCTTGCATGGCCTCGACGGCGATCTACCATACGAGTAGTAGTAGTATTGTTATCACAAATATTATTATCCCGACGTTCAAAACAGCATTCAAAATAATATTACAATTGTGTCAATATTACGTAAATCAATCACTACTCCATTAAAAAAAGTGCAAGGTATCACACACAGCAAGCAAGTGACGGTGCGTGTCGGCGGTCATGTGGGAAACGTTTACTCGGCCCAGCGCACACATGAGGTTGCTCACAAACGCTGCCGGTTCCGCCCACGACGGTCTAGATTGATATTTTTTTAAAATATTTATTGGAGATGGATCTTTTTAAAAATATTTCTTTCACCGTGGTTGGCGCAGCATGCGGGAAACTAGGCGCTTGGAGTGGGGAAACGTCGACTGGAACAGCAAGATGGACTGGTGAATGTGGAATCGCCATGCCTTGGACAATACGTCGCATGTGTTGCTGCGAAACGAGTGCAGCACCAGCACAAACAGCGCGCGGTGGCGAATGCCGCTGTACCAGTGTGCAAGTTCGTCTAGAACTTGGGCCAGCAACGCCTACAACAACGTCTTCAAACGAAGCAGCCAACAATGTCGTGCCTGAAGATGGCTTATCATGGCGGCATCGTTGTCCTCCGAGACTATCGTTAAGGCAAGCACATGAACGATAGCCAAAGCTGCGTCGGCGGCCGCGAGGCTGAGCTTTGTGGGGCCCCGTCGACCGAGTTCTACCCGAAGATCAAATACATCATACTTTTTTTTTATTTTGAAAACAGATATATATATATATATATTGTAGATAGATAGATAGATAGATATATTGTAGATAGATATATATCAATAATGTCAAATAATACAAGTAAAACAAATACAACGTCGTCTTCTTTTTTTGGAAAACGTATATCTATTAAATTATATATACTACTACGTAGTAAATATTTTAATATTTTCAAAACATGCCGATTAAAAAATATAAACCTCTATGACCCACTCACTGCATAGACATTAAATTATATATACTACTACTACGTAGTAAATATTTTAATATTTTCAAAACATGCCGATTAAAAAATATAAACCTCTATGACCCACTCACTGCATAGAGTTTCGCAAGGGATATGTACCATCGGCGGCAGCGTACGCTTTAGTCCGTGCGACGGCCGCAGAGAGCAGGTCGAACCATAATGTCGTTTGAACGGGGACGGACGGAGTAGTCGGAAGATGCGATGTCGCCATGGCCTTGGCAGTGTGGATTGCAAGGTCACGTACATGCACGAGGGCTCGGAGCATCGTTGGCTTGTCGTTGGGAGAAGAGAAGAGCATGGAAAAGTAGCCCAGGACGCGGGGAGGATGGCAGTGAAAGAGAAATGCAAAGAGCAGTTGGCAGCGAGTGGCGGCGTTCGATAGGACTGCAGGGAATGGGCCATGGAGGGACAAGACGGGTCCAAGCGATTGAAGGAGGTTCCTACGTTGGGAAGCATGAAAAGAGAGTGCGATTCAGGCTACGTTACATCGCAAGTTTATCGGATGTCTGCACTGTGGTTCGCACATGCACCTAAAATGATCATGAGGCAAATGGGAGGTGTGTCGTTGGTTAACGTACGAGAACCCGAGTCAGCTGGACAAACGTGGAATGCTGCGCAAGCGTAAACCGTCGCTGACTCTACACAGAGTAGATAAATACCGCAGGTTACACATGCGTTGATGGTGTTACCTTGTCCGGCAGTGTCTCCTCTTGCACGTCGGCGACGGCATGTTTCACCTACAAAGTCATTCAGCGACTACTTTGCCACGCAGCATCGACCCACCAGTGCCATCTCCGTGTCTAACAGCAGTCGAGTCATCGATGGAAGCGTGAATAACGACGCCTGTGTCTTCGCAGCCGTCCCAGATTCGTCGACGAGGTCCACCATGATGTTGAATGCCTTGTGCACAAATTATCCGGAATTATCCGGATGCCTTGAACATAAAATGCAATTCGACCAGGAAAGGTGGCATGTCCCCCCCCCATGCAAGATGACCTTAGCAAAGAAGTTCAGCGAAAGACGACAGCGCCAACATGCAGTCCCCGCCAACGCCGCGCCACAACCTGTACAACGACATTTGGTAGCGCTGTTACTGTTACATCAGTCGATGTTAGCGCTGTTGTCGTGGACTAATAGTTCGGACCTGTTGAGACCAAGCTGAACGCAAGATGCACAAACTACACCTTTTTTCTATTGCCTTGGGACTTTTTTCAACGTTCTTGGCTTGGCGCTCATTCGAAAGGGCGATGTGTCCATTCATTTGGCCTTGTGGCCAATAGAATTGACACTTAGTGCCGCAACACCCTTTGAAATGTACCATGCCAAGAACGTTGAAAAAAGTCCCAAGTCAATAGAAAAAAGGTGTAGTATTGGTCAAGATGTACGAATATTGGTCTTTTGCGTATTACAGTCCTTCCAAGTCGTCAAATTCGAGCAGGACGCGGGTGACAACCAACGCCATGTCGTAGAACGACGACGCCGCGGCGCGCAGCATGCGGATTTCGTTGGCCCAGAAATGCCTACAACAAGACATGGAAACAGTCATATTGGTTGGACCAACGTACGCAATGAGTTGGTTGCCCTGCACTCGCAATTCTTTGGTGATTTTGTCGGGCGAGATCTCTGCGTCCACGTTAAGCGTCGCCAACGCATGTACAGCCGCGTCGGACGATCCGAAGGTCAGCACGATCTCGCTACATGCACGACACGTCATTCCTTGTCATGGACTCCATGCATCGTCTTACCAGTCGTATGGGTGGTCCTTGCTCATGGTGTCGGCGTTGGCGCGATTGATAGAAATCCGAACTTATCCGGATGATTGGGCGAATTATCCGGTGGATTTCAGCTATATAAACAGTTGGAGACGAAATATAACAAACGTGAGAACAGTGTAACTTACTGTTAGTATGAATTGTAACAAATTATAATATCTAGGCAATCCTGGCGCCAACGAGGTGGGTATCCGGATATGCTGCCCTTTTTCGCGCGGAATTATATGCCGATGTCATCATTTCCAAAGATGGCACGAACCAAGCAGACGACCCCAAAGAACGTGAAGGACAGCAAGCTCCCTCGTAAGCACATACTGGCGGCTAAGAAGACAGTAGCCGGGAAGAAGATGGCCTCGAAGCCAGTGGCGTTTGTGAAGAAGCCACACAGGTATCGCCCCGGCACCGTGGCGTTGCGAGAGATTCGGCGGTACCAAGTGTCGACCGAGTTGCTGATCCGCAAGCTACCGTTCCAGCGCCTCGTGCGCGAAATCGCTCAAAACGTGCGGTTGGACTTGCGCTTCCAAGGCTCTGCGCTGGTCGCCCTCCAGGAATCCGCTGAAGCGTACTTGGTGTCGCTGTTTGAAGACTCGTACCTGTGCACGATGCATGCAAAACGTGTGACGTTGTTGCCGCGGGACATGCATTTGGCGCGTCGGTTGCGCAAAGAGCGCGATTAGAAGATCCAAGAATCCGTCCATATGAGCTTAATTTAACAATCGTCGACATATCCCATATACATCACGTCCTTGGAATCTGTTCGACGCGCACATGTTCCTGCACTTCCAGTAGTATCCTGACATGAAACTTGTACAGAGCGATACCGCTTCACCGCATTCCCAGCAGCACAATCCAAGCATCCCAGATCAAGGTTTGGCAATGCTTCAATACCCTCCGACATGTACACCCGACACCATCGAACCATCCATCCCATTGCAATCTCTCCATCACAAGTCTCAGTCTTGCCGCCGTCGTTGTCTCGGCACTGGAAATGACATGGACGACTAACTAGCTTCCAGTAGACTCGAACTAACAGTTATACTGTACTACTGTATACTGTACTAGTGTGTACTGTGAATGAATCTGTACTACTATTAATAGTACTACTACGTAGGCCTATTGAACTACTACTAGTATGTACTAGTACTACGCTTTCAATATATTATATGGTACTAGTACTCGTTAAAGGGCATTCATTTTTCGTGCAACTGTATCTCATGTTTACTCTGTCGACGATTGATATATTGGCCTTAGGTCCAGAGCAATCGACCAACAGGATGCGTAAGAAAGGCCTCTTGGATCTCGTCGTGGGAGAACGTCAGCGCCCACTTCCCCTTCCTTTCCCGGACAATGTCGGATCGTTCCAGTTCAAAGCAGATGGCCCGGACGTCGGCAAAGCTCGGGACGCGCGGGAGGCCCGCCGTTTTCGTCAGATTCGCCATGCGCCGGACGACTCCTTCTAGGTCTCCTCCGGTTGTGCCTATGCAGGTGTATGGGTCGGCGTTTCCTAGTATTAATAGTACTAGTACCGGTCTGCAACTTGATCTCCCGCAGCAGCGCCACCAAGAAGATGCATTCAAATGTACTGCACTGACGCAGCCGCGTCACGAGCGGAGACTGCGACATACATGCCTGCACCGCCTCAATGTCGGCCGACAGCACCAACGACGGCACGTGCGTGTCGGTCACACGCCGAAGCGCGCGCTCTGTCGCAGCTTTGCACACCATGAGCGCTTTCCGGACGTCGCCGCTCTGATGCGCCAGCGCCTTGGCGTAGATCTCAATCGCCCCGCGCTCAAACACGTTTAACGACGCAAGGCGCTGATGGAGAATCCGCTGGATCTGGTCGTGGGTGTAGGACCGGAACGCTATCCGGTTGATGCCGAACCGGCTGCGCAGCTTGGGGGCTAGCCGTTCGGGGAGGTCCCTAAAACATGAGAATTTAATTGTCAAAAAATGACGAACAAGTTGAGCTTTTTTGGAGTTTTTAGGGAAAATAATCGAGTTTTTAGGATAAACACATCACCCATTGTAATGTTTTAAGGGAAAAAATCAAGTTTTAGAGGATAAAAACACAACTACCCATTGAAAATAAACAACATACGAAAAAGATACGGGAAAAATCGACCCAAAATGCGAATAAAAGAAAGCGATACAATGGATATGGGCATTAGGAGGTTGGTATACATGATGTTGGCGATGCCGACGACGACGAGTTTGGATGACGGCAGTCCTTGCCACTCGAGAAAGTTGTACAGTACAGTGTTCTTGCCTACAATCACATATGAGGGGGCTGATGCGAAACACATACCCAGTTGCGAAGCCACTCCAGCCACCCAAAAACAACATATTGAGTCATGCAAAGGAACCAACCAGCAAGCATGAAGTCCATTTCATCTAGCACGAGGATAACCACTGGTCGAGAGGACTTGTCGAGCTTGAAGAGGGCATCGAGGCAGTCCCGCGCACGCTTGGCATTGAACGACTTGGCCTACAGAAAAATAAATAATGAATCATTTATTGTCGCTTTGATAGTACAAATTTGGGGAGCAATCGAATTTCGCGCCGACCAAACCGATCCACAATCGATCTGATTGGTTGAATTTCATTGAGAAGGTGGTTTTGATTGGCTAATAATTTTGAGCTCATCTGAGGTAGCCAATCAAATCGATTTAAGTTCCAACGAGAAATCACAACACAATGAAATATTTCACTCGAAAGCACAATACACACCTGAAAATGAAACGTTTCCAGCGCTTTCCAGATCATGCTGTACGCTTGGTCGGGTTTGGGCATGTGGAGGCCATTCACTTCGATCCACGTGAACGGCGGGATGGTCTGGGCGTCGCGCTCTCGCTCCAGTGTCCGGAGGATTTCCTTGACCGTGGCTGTCTTGCCCATTCCTTCATCAGGTCAGCATGACGATGTTGTTATCGTTCTATCGATGGTGTATGTACCAGGCAGCCCGCTAATGTACACAGGATTGCTTTCGCCGTCCACGACAGCCAGCTTGAGGGTCTGGTAGATCTGGCGCCGCTCCTCTTCGCGTCCGAGAAGCGTGTCCGGGATGCTAGACAGCTGCAGTTGGTCGCAGGCGGCTTCCAGACGCGACTTGCACCCTTCTAGATCGTTCTCGTCGCAGGATGGATCGAGCAGACGTCGGCGCTTCCGACGGGCGGCGGCCGGACTCAGCCACTTCAATCTGCGACTGTACACGTACCCCATGGTTTGCGCGTCGTTGTCGGTGGTGATAGACGTCAACGTGCCTGTCAGCAGGGCATACAGCTTCGTGCAGATGTACGAGGCAGCTAGATCCACCACGTTCACCAGACATGCCACGGCCAATTCGTCGATTGCAGTCGTGTCCACCACCACTTCCTTGTCCGAGGTCGTGGTGGTATCCGTAGACGTCGACGGCATGAGCTTCCTTTTCAACGAGGGAGGAAGTGTAGCCAATGCCATCATGTACCGAACTTCCATCATCATGGTGCCGCTTGCATCCTCCCAGAACGTATGTATGGTGGCCAACTTGGTCGTCGATCCAACACGAACGTGGACGACGTCGAATTGACAGACATTGCGCGTTTCTGTCGTCGTCGTCATGCAGATGCTATCGTAGTACGTTTCTCCATTCAGGACGTCCACCGAGCTTCCAGTCCATGCAAACTTTGCCGCCTTCCGACGCGGTACTGCCTTGCCATGCTTTGGAGGCATTTTGGAGCGGCTATCGTCCGGATAAAATCTAAGGTTTGTATCCGGAGACAGTACCACAGCTATCCGGATATAATATGCGGAAATGTTCCTCAGTGATTCATCTTGAAAAATTGTACTACGTAGTATTGTGAATTCGCTATAAACTTCCAAAATTCGCCTAAATATTTTGGAGTTGCTGCCGGGAAATGGAAGCAGCTCGGCACTGAAATGGGTTTCGACTTCTGAAAACTGATAATTGAACAGTCCATCCAAGAAGCATTGAGACATCAATTTTCACAGTATCTAACATGTCCTAATGTCCCATTTTCTAAGCAGAAACACCTCAAAAGTAGCGGACAATTTAAGGGACACATTTTAAGCTTGATCGTAGCATTGATCCATGCATATATTTTTTGTGGTTAGGGTATAAGATTCTGTCAGGTACATACCGGTATGCAACCTTAACAGGTTATGTATTTATAGAGCCCATTGGTTAATTGATTTATATAAAACACATGGGATCATGAAGAACATTTATTTAAAGAGGTATTTCTACACAGATTTTAAGGTGGGTGATTGGCTGAATCCGATGTCCCTTAAATTGTCCCATGTCTCTTTAATTGGAAATCTACGTTAGTCCAAATTGAATCAAGCCGGAAGTTGTGATTGGTTGAATATGCTTGTCCTTTCTGCAAGAGCCAATCAAATCCACTAAAAAATGGATTAGCCAATAGCGTCGATTCGTGATTCGATTCGGCGGCGAGATTCGATTCGACGGGGTCTGGAAATTTGTATCGAATCCACAATACTAACAGTGGTCGAAGGCATCGAGGGAATATTTATGCATTTCTCAAGGTCCAGATGGCCTTTTTCAGTGAAATTTCTTGTGTGCTCATAACTAAACGCCATATTAAAAACGTTCTTTGGATGTCAGGTGTAGAAATGAATATCTTGTGAGATATGTCACAAAACATGACGGAAATGAGGCAAATATGACATTTACAAATAATAACCTATACCTTTTAATAGTATTAATTTTGACGTTTATACAGGAAAGCTTATACGAGTACTCTCAAATATAATATTTCCAAATAACCCTAATCCCGATACACTGGCACCAAACATTGAGCTTGGTCGTTATTAGGTCGTGAGGATGAAATTGGCCTTCGTTTGAAAGGTTCTGGCTTGCATTACTCAAATGTACCCTGATGGCAGTGTACACCGACGCCAACATTGCGATTCGGGGCACGCTGCGACAGTGTATGTCGATCTCTATGGAGTTTAATTGTCCTGGTACACGTTACATGTACAGTACAGTACAGTATGGGCAAGTTTAGTACGTACTGTACTACTGGTATAATACATACTATTAATATTACCTTTCTTCATGAGAATACAGTACTGTATTATTGCCTCCCTGAACCTTAACGTTAAAATCACAACAGTGATAAAAAGAAGTCCACGACGGGACTCGAACCCGCAATCTCCCGCTTCGTAGGCGGACGCCTTATCCAATTAGGCCACGTAGACATTCATATTCAGTATAACTCATGTAATACTAGATTAATTTATTACTAAACAGTGCACCATAAAGTTCCAAAGCTCAAGCAAGTCCATTGGTAATTTTGAGTGCGCATTAAACTGTCCCGTGCACCATGAACTGGCCATTTACGCAAACTAGAGAGGTTTTGCAACTCATCCGTACATTACCCCCATCCTCACAAAATCGACATTTGTCGTTTTGAGGGTAATGACAATGATGAAGTATTATTGTGTTTTGCAATTTATCCCCATCATTATCCCCACAACAGCATCCGGATAATACGGTTAGTCGGATATGTACAATTTGCAGATGCCCATGGTCCACACGAAATGGCCACGGGGTTGGCGTGGCTGTCGTGTGACGTCGCACGCAGGATGCACATACACCGCGCTTGACCTCGATCTTATCGGCATCGTTGTGTCGTTCATTGGTC